TTTTCTATTCATTTGTGGGATGTGGTCATCACTGGCTGATCAGCATTTATTGCCTGTCCCTAGTTGCCCTCGAGAAGGTGATGGTGAGCTGCTTTCTTGAAACACTGCAGTCCCCCTGCTGTGGGTTGACCCACAATGCTATTAGGGAGGGAATTTCAGGATTTTGACCCAGTGACAATGAAGGAACGACGATATATTTCCAAGTCAGGATGGCGAGTGGCTTGGAGGGGAGCTTGAAGGTGATGATGTTCCCATATATCTGCTGCCCTTGTCCTACTAGATGGGAGTGGTTGTGGGTTTGGAAGGTTCTGTCTGAGGATCTTTGGTGAGTTTCTGCAGTGCATCTTGTAGATAGTACACACTGCTGCTACTGAGCATCGGTGGTGGAGGGAGTGAATGTTTGTGGATGTAGTGCCAATCAAGCGGGCTGCTTTGTCCTGGATAGTGTCAAGCTTCTTGAGTGTTGTTGGGGCTGCATTCATCCAGGTAAGTGAGGAGTATTCCATCACACTCCTGACTTGTGCCTTGTAGATGGTGGACAGGCTTTGGGGAGTCAGGAGGTGAGTTACTCACCGCAGTACTGCTAGCCCCTGATATAGATGAACACATTGACCGTTAAAAGACATAATGACTTTTTTTTTGTGTTGCTGTACACAGGGAGGGTCAGTTAGGTCCCTGCAGAAACACCGTCTGTCAAAGGAACGGCTCAGAAAACAGCCACTATTGGTTTTGTTACTGTGACACCTAGTGGCTTTAAGAGGAAGTGCTGTACACTGGTAATAGTTTTAATTTTTTAAAGCTTTTTTCTGATGTATTTTGCATAAATTTAGATTGTATTCATTAGTAATTCTTTTTGTAAGCTTCATTTTAAAAATGAGTAGTATGGAGCACACTAAAAGAAACCTGTGGAGTTAAGAAAATCTAATTTTTGGAATACAGTCTGAACCCCACAGCATTACTTGATAAACCCGGAGATAAATCAGACTTACCTTTTTCCATTGTAATGAGATTGTACAAACGTTGAAGCTACCATGACTAACTGAGTAATGTTTTTATATTTAATCTTTTCTTATTTCCTAATACTTTCAGTTTTCAGTTATTTGAATAGCGAGCTTAGTGTGGGTGTGTTTTAATGCCAGTTCACTATCATCCACCTGAGGTTGGGACTGTTTTCCTTGGAGAGGAGAAGGTGAAGAGGATGCCGGCTAGACGTTTTCAAAATTACGAGGGTCTCTGACGGAGGAGAAGGGGAGAAACCATTCTCGTTTGTTAGAGGATCGAGAACCAGAGGACACAGATTTAAATTGTTTTGCAAAAGAAACAAACTTGAGATGAGAAAACACCTCTTCACACAGTGCGTGGTTAGGGTCTGGAAGGGTCTGCTTGGAAATGTGTTGGAGGCAGGTTCAGTTGAGCCATTTGGGAGAGTATAGGATGATGACTTGAATAGAAATTTGTGCAGGGTTACAGGGACAGGGCACTATCGCAAAATACTCAGATTCAATACAGACGCAATGGGTTGAATGACCTCCACCTGCAATGAAACAATTTTGCCGTTCTGTAATTCTGTCAATGTAGTCTCTAATTTTCTGGAACAAAAACAAAAAGTGCAGAGAAACTCATCTGCAATCCATTGTTTTATTTTATTGTGTAATTTTCTGGCCTATCTTGATATACTGGAGTAACTCCCAATACCTTTCAAACCAGGAGAACAAGGGCAACAGATACATGGAAGCACCACCACTTGAAAGCTATGTATCATCCTGACTTGGAGCTATATTGCTGTTACTTTGCTGCCACTGGGTTAAAATCCTTTGAACTCCTTTCCCAAGAGCACAATGGAGGCACCTACATGCCAAGGACTGCTGCAGTTCAAGAAGGAAGCTTACTGCCACCTTCAAGGGCAGTTAGGGATGAGAAATAATTTCTGCTTAGCCAGCGATGCTGCTGTCCTCTGAACGAATAAACAAAACTCACTCCCATCTTGTGCCTTATGGATGGTGGAGGCATCGGATAGTCAGGGGTGAGTTATTGTTGCAGAATTTCCTGGTCTTGTAGCCACACTATTTACATGGCTTAATATTTTAAAATAAATCACCTGAACTACGGAAATAATTACAGGTTAATTGCTAACTTCAGACACTCAACAATGTCCTTTAGGATTCAGCCAGCTCGATTGACATTGGTGTTCATGAGCACTCAAGTGATGGACTGATCAACATTGAAGTCCTCTGCAGTGCTTCCTCTAATTGGTGTTCAACATGGAGGGGTACGAGCTCATCCCTGAGGAGTGGCGTCAGACATCAGTCAGATAAACAGATAAAGAAGAAGCATACAGCTGGAAGTCTTCTTTGATGTGATTTGTCAAGGCAATTGCTGTTTTCTGTTTTGACCAAAAATTCAAGTATTTTGGCTTCAAAGGGTGAGGCAAAAATGATCTGAAGGACTCACCTCTGCTGATAAAAGAGCAGGGCGCAAGGCGCATTGCAGAATGAATGTTGAATGACTTGTTTGCTATGCAGGAGACCCCAAAGCTGGTGGATATTGAGATAACATTTGTAATAATGTTTGCAGAATACAACTTGTCATCATCTTAAAGGAAGGAAATTCAGGAAATGTAGCTCATTTGCTAGGTTATGCTGAAGGACCAAAATTCCTCTACAACTCAGTATTAATTTTTGTCCGATTAAAGTTTGCAACATTTTACTATATTAAAAGTGCTTTGTAAATATAGGTTGTTATATTAATGCATTGTAGATGGATGTAGTTAATGCTACATTTTTCCCTTCAATATACGCATGTTCTAAGCTACAGGTATGGGGGTTTGAGTTACTGTAATGGTGGATATAATTTTTTATGATTTTTTCAAATAACAGTATTATGAAAGGGTAACAACCAGCAGTATCTCTTGCATCGATTAAAAAGAACACCACATTGCTGCTTTTAGTCTGATGGCACTAGCTTCCAATGATACAGCTTCAGTGACTGGAAAGAAAAATGTTGTGTTCTGTCCAGACTGAAACAAATAAAGTTCACCATTAGTCTGATTGGATATCTCTCTTATTTACCAGATTTTCATTGTAAACCAGGTGCCAGGCCAGGAATTATACAAGATTATCATGAATGTCAACTGATTATGTCAGAAACACAGCAGCCAATTTTCACACAGCAGGGTCCCTTGAGCAACAATGTAATAATTGTTGAGCATTTGTTCTTAAGTGTTGGTTGGGATAAACATTAGCCACTGGGGAAAACTCTCCAGGTGTTCCCCAAAATTGTGTCATGAGATCTTACACATCTGCCTGAGAATGCAAAGGTAGCATTTCTAACAGTGTAGCACTCCTTCAGTTTGATCTGAATTTTAAACTTGATGTTGTACTTAACTCAATCTTAATATTCTGTCACAACAACAACAATAACAAAAACAGAAGATGCTGGAAAAGCTCTGGCAGCATTTGTGAAGAAAAAATCAGAGTTACGTTTCAGGTCCAGTGACCCTTCCTCAGAACTAATATTCTGTCATTTCGGATTCATCATTCACTTTATCTGATGTTCTAATGATACATATACTTTATGTATAATTGGATATTGCAGTTTCTTTAGTGTTTTAAATGAACATAAGTTCAATGAAATAAATACGGGATGTTCATCTCAGTAATCAACAATGTTTATGTTCTACCTGCATCTTGAAGGAAGGTTTATCCAGCAATACTGGGTTAGGATTATCCTAGGACACCCGAAGTCTCATAACTAAATGATTTAAAGTGGTATTTGTTTTTCATGCTGATTTGTCTTCACATCTTGGTGGTACAAAGATGTTGTAGATGTTTGGAATTGAATTTTTTGAGTCCATGAAGTTCTGGACGCGCCTGGAACTGACTCAGAAAATGTAACCTCGCTTCTGATCATGTACACTGGGTGCAATTTCTTTTTCTTTTCCCAAACAAATAAATTGTACAGCGGTTGAAATTTAAAAATTGCAGTTCAGGGTGAATATTGATTCAGAGGTGTTAATTATGAGCAGAGTTAAATGAACTCTCCCACTTGTTCACCAAATAGACTTTAATGGGTTTCCTTCTGTGTGGAAGAAGCAATGCTGCATGGAATAGTGATTACTCCAGCAGAATAAAATAATCTCAGGAACACAAGAACTATTAAAGACAAGAAAGGTCCATTTGCCTCATCAAGTGCAGCCTGGAGGTTGGAAATTCCTATTGTATCTGTCTTCACCACCTTATGGACAGAAAAATCTAAATATTTGTCACCATTTGGGTAATGAGTACTACCTAAAATAAGCATTAAATATATGTTTCAGTTGTTTTAATCTATTGTAATTTCTTTTTGATCCTAGAATCCTACTTTAAAATACCTTATCTATTCCATTTAAGAATTTATACACTTCACAAATCACCACTTCCCACTCCTGACCCTGGTTCCCTCACCACTTGCCTCTGTTTAATTTTAGACATTGCCACTTATCTCTGGAATGAAAGGTTTTCAGAGACACGTTCCAGGGAATGCAGGTTATAGGATCCTCATCATAGGGGCTTCTGATGACAAATGAATCAAATCCTGGAATACAATCACTGTCTACAAAGGGATATTTTAATACAATGGCTATCATTCAATGTCTTCACTTGCTTTGATTGTCCACTCTGGGTTAAAGATTTTATTATCCTGTGCTGGAGTCAGTGGTGATTGTGAGGAGCAGTTAGGGGATACACAATGAAAGCACCATCTGATAATTTCTTCTCAATTTGGGGATTTTGTTGAAAAATAATATGAATTGCCCATTTCATGTATCCTGGTTCAACTGGAGTAGGATGAATGGTGTCAGTCTCCTTGTTTTCTCTTCAATTGGATTTTTCCATTAAGTAATTACATAAAATTAAGTTTTGTAACTTTGTCTGGGTGAGCTCTTAACGTGGAAAAAGAGCACATCTCTCCATGCAAGGAGTCAAGTGATCTACTATAATACATTTTTCTATTGTCTTTAACAGGTCCCTGGAACTGAGATATTTCACCTATGGAATTCTCTTTGGATGTGGATCATCTTTTGCTTTCCAGCCTTCATTAGTCATTCTTGGCCATTACTTTAGAAGTCGGTTAGGACTTGCAAATGGTGTGATGACAGCTGGTAGCAGCCTGTTTTCCGTCACTATGCCTTTTCTCTTAAAGACGATTGGCGAAACACTGGGTCTAGCTCATACACTGCAGATTCTTAGTGTACTCATGTTCATACAGATATTTTTATCTTTGACATATAAACCTCTGTTGTCTTTGCCCTCTGGTGGAGAAAGAAATAAGCCTGACAAAACAGAAGAACCGAAGTGCCTCCAGCGATTTAAGAAGCACCTAAATCTAAGAGTGTTCAGGAAGGTAACATACAGGGTTTGGGCCTTTGGAGTCGCCACTGCAGTCTTAGGCTACTTTGTGCCGTATGTTCACTTGGTAAGTGCAGCAACTTTGCCAGTGCTTTTCTGTAATAAAGTGTGTAACCTTTTCAAAAATGGCTTGTGGGTACAGGACAGCTACTCTTCTGCTAAATTAAACGAGTGACTGCAATCACAGGTCAATTGAGGTGATACTTTCTTGTGAAACCATGGTTCATTTCAAAGAAACCGCAGCACAAAACGGATCTCAATGTGGGTTTGTTGCAACAGGAATGATGTGACACCACTTGTCTTTGCAATGGCTGCACTAAAACTCTAGCAGATTCAAAGCAAACTCTTTGAAACCTTCATTTATGGGAATTGTTCCTTTGGATGTTCGTTAGCATTGAACATTTTAACGAACATTTAGAGACTAGAGGTCAGAATGTTATCCATAAGACCATCAGATATAGGAGCAGAACTAGGCCATTTGGCCTATTGAGTCTACCCTGCCATTCAATAATGGCTGATATGTTTCACAACATCCCCCCTCCACCCATTCTCCTGTCTTCTCCCCATGAACTTTGGCCCCCTTACTAACCAAGAACTTATCTGTCTCTTTCTTAAATACACTCAATATGTAGCCTCCACTATCCTCTGCAGAAATGAGTTCTACAGATTAACCACCTTCTGGCTGAAGAAATTCCTCCTCATCTCAGTTCTTAGTCATCTCGTTCCTTCACCCTGAGGCTGTGTCCTTGGGTCCTCCTACTCCTAGTAGTGGAAATATCTTCTCCGCATGAGGTCTATCCAGGCCTCTCAGTATTCCATAAGTTTCAATCAGATCCACCCCCTCATCCTACTCCATTGAGTACAGAACCAGAGTCCTCAAGCACGCCTTATATGACAAGCCCTTCATCCCCAGGATCAATCTTATAAACCTTCTCTGGGCACACTGCAACACCAACATATCCTTCCTTAGGTACGGGGCCCAAAACTGCTCACAATATTCCAAATGTGGTCTGGCCAGTGCCTTAAACAGCCTCTGCACCACATCCCTACTCTGGTATTCTAGTCCACTTGAAATGTTGCATTTGCCTTCTTAACTGCCAACTGAACCTGTATGTTAACCTTAAGAGAATCCTGAACTGGGATTCCTAAGCCCCTTTGAGCTTCAGATTTTCAAAGCCTTTCCCTGATTTGAAAATAATCTATACCTTTATTCTTCTTACAAAAGTGCATAACCTTACACTTTCCCATGCTGTATACTATCTACCACTTCTTTGCTCACTCGCCTAGACTGTCCAACTTCTTCTGCAGCCTCCCCACTTCTTCGACACTATCTTTCCTTACACTTATCTTTGTGTCACCTGCAAACTTAGCAACAATGCCCTCAGTTCCTTTGTCTAGATTGTTAATGTATAATGTGAATAGTTGTGGTCCTAATATGGACCCCTCCACTAGCCACTGGCTGCCATCCTGAAAAAGACCCCTTTATCTCCACTCTAATGCCTTCTACCTTTCTACCCATGCCACTACCTTGCCCCTAACACCATGGGCTCTTATCGTATTTATCAGCCTCCTGTGCGGCACCTTGTCAAAGGCCTTCTGGAAATCCAAATAGATCACATCTACTGGTTCTCCTTTGTCTAATTTGTTCATTAGCTCCTCAAAGAATTCTAACAGATTTGTCAGGCATGACCTACCCTTGACAAATACATGCTGATTCAGCCCTATTTTACCAAGTACTCCACAATCCCGTCTTTAATAATGGACTCTAAACTCTTATCACTCAATTTTAAATCGACATTGTGCTGACAATGCTGGCTGTCAAAGCTTTCAGGACACCCCAAAATATGTTTACTGCCAAAGAAGTATTTTTGAACTGTAGCCTAACAAACACAGCAGCTAATTTATACAGAGTAAGTCCTGGAACATCATTGGGATAATTGATCAGATGATGTTCATTTGGTGGTGCTAGTTGAAGGAGAAATGTTGGTCCCTTTGAAGACTCTTTTGTATACTCCTCGCAACTTAATTTTCTACTACCTTCATATCATCAGCAAATTTGACTGTAATACATAAAATATAATTCATAAATAGCTAGGCCCCAACATTGATCCCTGTAGTATTCAATTAATTCCATTAATTCCAGCTTGTCAACTTCAAAATGATCCAATTATCCTGAATCTGTTTCCTGTTCATTAGCCACTCCTCCATCCCTGCTAAAACATCACCCCAAAACTATAACCCAGTTCACTGGACTCAAAACATTAACTGTTTTTCTCTCCTCAGATAATGCCAGACCTGCTAAGCTTTTCCAGCAATTTCAGTTTTTGTTTCAGATCTCCAGCATCTACAGTTCTTTGTTTTATTTTGGGTAACTCTGTTGTTGGGTTTGCCTTACTGGAAAGACTGTGTCTTTTTATTTTTCTGGATTTTTGATAGTGGCAAAAAGAAAAAACCAAGAAAGATCACTGCGTGCTTTTGAACACAAGTAACCTGATACTCATTGTAAGGTCTAGGCCCGAAACGTCGGCTTTCCTGCTCCTCTGATGCTGCTTGGCCTGCTGTATTCATCCAGCTCTACACCTTGTTAATTTATTGTAAGGATTGTGTACACAGCTGCCACTTCAAATAGTAGTAGGGGAAGGTACAGACAAGCTGGAACCAACGGTGTGTACAAATGGAGATTCAGCCAGCAACAAGTAGCTGATTGGTCTGTGGACTTGTGACCTTTATCAATAACAAAGGCCTTCTGCCTGTGAATAACAATGTGATTGGTTTTCAGCTAGCTGAACAACTTGGGGATGTGAACAAGATAGGGAGAAACTTTCAGACCTCCACCAGCTCAGGAGCTCTGTTCGCTCTCTGCAGTAAAAACCAATTTTAAGTCTGAAGAAAACGAGTTTATTATTTCTTCAACAGTTATTGTAAACTGTGACTTTTAACTAATAAGCCAGAGACCTTTTGTATGTGTGAGCCAGCCACCTTGTGCTTTCTACAAACCAGTGACAGCTTCTGGAGAAGGAAGACTAAGAAGCAGTTTTCTGATTAGCACAAAGAAGCATCTCATCAGGTCCTGTGAACAGGAACCACCGAACTGCTTTCCCACTTTCCCTCCATCCATAATCCCATGTTTTTTTTCTGTGTGTGTACATTGGCAAGTTCATAGAGTTTTAATTAGTAGAATTATACGCTGACAGTTGATATATTGTTTACATTAGCCAGAGTCTATTTGTAATAAATAGTAATTCTTGTTAAGTGCAGAAACCTAGTTTGTGCATTCAATCAATCTGGGTTTAAAGACAGTTAAATTGGGGTATTCTGTGTACTTTAATATTTTCACGTTTGTTCTGTTTTGGTGAAAACAATTTCTTTAGGTTGGGGCAGGGCGCTGGGGAAACACCTGCATTGGTTTTATCTTCTCGACAAAATGGTCACTCATTTTTCAGAAGCCCTGTAGTATCTTGTCTCACTCATTCTAACATCTAGCACATAATTTGGCTGCAGGTGAATTTTGTGAAACATGAGTTCCAAGAAACTAAGAGAACTTGGATCCTGCTAGTCTGCATTGGAGCCTCATCAGGTATTGGACGTCTGATGTTTGGGAAAATTGGTGATTGCATCCCTGGACCCAAGAAGATCTTCCTGCAGGTAAATCAATGGAAACCAAATGCTACAGGGAAGAAGGCTGAGTTAATGTATTCTAAAGTTGTGTCTTTTTTCCATTGTCCGTCCTTAGGGTGCTCTCCAGACCAGCTGGTAATTAATTAATGAATTACTTATGTATTTATATATTGGAATGTCATGAGAGCAATTCCCATTTTATTAAACCTGCCCAAGTTGAAGGCACGCCAGCAATCTGTCACCTGCTAAATCCCTCAGGTCAAAGATGTGATAGGGTTACACCTCCCAAGACTAAAATAGAACATCAACTCAGTGAAGAGGGAGAAATTGTCATAGCATCACAGTGTGAAAAGAGGCTGCCCATCATGCCCATGCCAATCTTCAAGCATCTATCTGTTCTTGTCTCATTTTCCAGCACTTGATCCATAGCCTATGTTATGATATTTGAAGTGCTGATCTAAATACTTGTTAAATACCTTGAGGATCCTGCCTCAACCAACCTTTTAAGCAGTGAGTTCCAGATACCTATCATCCTCTAAGTAAAATTTTTCCTCAAATCGCTCTGAACCTCCTGCTCCTTAACTTAAAATTACGTTCCCTGGTTATTCACCCTTCTACTGAGGGGAAATGTTCTTCCTTTCCCCCTTACCTATGCACTCATAATGTCTCCGCTCACCAAGCTGTTTCTGCTCTAAGGAAAATAACTCCAGCCTATCTAAGATAACAAGATGTGGAGCTGGGTGAACACAGCAGGCCAGGCAGCATCAGAGGAGCAGGAAAGCTGATGTTTCGGGTCTGGACCGTTCTTCAGAAATTCGAGTCCAGACCCGAAGCGTCAGCTTTCCTGCTCCTCTGATGCTGCCTGGCCTGCTGTGTTCATCCAGTTCCACACCTTGTTATCTCAGACTCCAGCATCGGCAGTTCCTACTATCTCCGGCCTATCTAACCTTTCTTCATAGCTGAGTTGTTTCTGTGCTGGCTTGGAGTACACTGAACCTTCATTGCATTGGACATGCATTCAGAACAAACAGAATATAACACTGTGACCCAGGCATTAGGGAAGAGCCTGAAAACGCATAGGTCTGGCATTCAATGTTTTTTACAGTGTTCAGTGATTTTAAAAATAACTTAACAGGCAATTATCAAACTAATTCAAGCAAGACCAGATTCAGTTAATGATTTAACAAACTCCTTCCTGATTCTAAGCAACATTAGACTTTGAAAGCCAGTGTGATGAGTCTGGTGGCTGAGTGTTCAGGGAATAGGAAACATGGTGAAATTCTCATGGTGAGTCATTCTGAGAAGCAACATCATGGCCTTCCTATCCCTGTCTATGTAAGATCACAAGAAGTTAAGAAATAAAAGCAGGAGTGAACCAAATACTCCTTGAGCGTACTCCACCATTCAATACGATCATGGCTGATATTCTGCCTCAGCCCCACTTTCACAACCACTAACTGTGTCCTTCGATGTCCTATAGCACCAAAATGTGGCATGTTCAGAATTATTAACGTGAAATTGATGGTGAAACTTTAAGACTTATAATTTCTCTGCTCCAACTCCTACTAAAGTATTAAAATTATAAATAAGGTCAAAGTATAAAGAACTTATGTGTAAGTGCAACATTGAGTGTAATACCAAGCTACACTGATGAATAAAGCACCAGATTTACAACCAAACTTATTAACGGTGAAGGTAAAGTCATCACACTCTTCCCAGAACATGCAGCTACTCTCTCATCCTGTGTTATGGCCTCCATTGTTTTTCCCACTGTAGTTTCTTGGGTGGTCCTTTGACCCTTTCTTAAACAACGGTGTTAACATTTGCAATCCTCCGGGACTAATTCTGTGTTCAGAGACATCTGGAAAATTTTTGTCAATTTCTCCATTATTTACTCCCTTACCCTTCTCGGCAATCTCGGATGCTTGCTGCCTGGGCCTGGTGACTTCGCTACCAGGAGTGTTGCACCCCTTTTTATCTGTCACTAGACTGCCCAGTTGTACAACGTACAGATTTTAAAGTAGGCTATTGTCACCATTTTCTAACTTGGTAAAGACAGAAGCAGTAGATCAGCAAGTGGAATGACCAAGGAGGTCTTAGAGACTAAGTCCAGTAGGCTAAGAGGAAGAACAGACAGGGAGAGGTTATGGAACACAGCAGGACTGGCAGTCTGAAGTGTATTTGTTTTAGTGTGAGGAGTATGACAGGTAAGGCAGATTGATTTAGAGCTTGGATTAGTACATATAACTATGATGTTGTAGCTTTTACAGAGACTTGGCTGAGAGAGGGACAAGACTGGAAGTTTATCTTTCCGTGATTTAGATGTTTCAGGTGAAATATAGAGGGATGTAAAAGAGGTGGGGGAAATGGCATTACTGAGTAGGGAGAATATCACAGCTTGGTATATTACAGCTGTACAGGAAGGCTTATCCAGTGAGGCTGTATGGGTAGAGTTCAGGAATAGGAAGGGTGCAATCACTTTGATAGAATTGTACTACAAGCCTAGCAACAGCCAGGAGGAGATAGAGGAACAGATATGTGAACAGATTATGGAAAACTGTGAAAACAACAGGGTTGTTGTGGTAGGAGATTTTAACTGCACCTGTATTGACTGGGATTCCCTTAGTGCCAGGGATGGGGCAGGATTTATTAGGTGCACCCAGAGGGTTTCTTGAAGTGTATGGAAATAGCCCAAACCAGGGAAGGGGCCATACTAGAGATAGTAGGAACTGCAGTTGCTGGAGAATCCGAGACAACAAGGTGCAGAGCTGGATGAACACAGCAGGCTAAGCAGCATCATAGGACCAGGAAGGCTGACGTTTCGGGCCTAGACCCTTCATCAGAAATGGGGGAGGGGAAGGGGGTTCTGAAATAAATAGGGAGAGAGTGGGAGGCGGATAGAAGATGGATAGAGGAGAGGATAGGTGGAGAGGAAACAAACAGGTCGAAGAGGCGGGGATGGAGCCAGTAAAGGTGAGTGTAGGTGGGGAGTTAGGGAGGGGATAGGTCAGTCCAGGGAGAATGGACAGGTCAAGGGGGCAGGATGAGGTTAGTAGGTAGGAGATGGGGGTGCGGCTTGAGGTGGGATGAGGGGATAGGTGGGAGGAAGAACAGGTTAGGGAGGCGGGGACGAGCTGGACTGGTTTTGGGATGCGGTAGGGGGAGGGGAGATTTTGAAGCTTGTGAAATCCACATTGATACCATTGGGCTGCAGGGTTCCCAAGCGGAATATGAGTTGCTGTTCCTGCAACCTTCGGGTGGCATCGTTGTGGCACTGCAGGAGGCCCAGGATGGACATGTCGTCTGAGGAATGGGAGAGGAAGTTGAAATGGTTCGCGACTGGGAGGTGCAGTTGTTTATTGCGAACCGAGCGTAGGTGTTCTGCAAAGCAGTCCCTGAGCCTCCGCTTGGTTTCCCCGATGTAGAGGAGGCCACAACGGGTACAGCGGAGGCAGTATACCACATTGGCAGATGTGCAGGTGAACATCTGCTTGATGTGGAAAGTCTTCTTGGGGCCTGGGATGGGGGTGAGGGAGGAGGTATGGGGGCAGGTGTAGCACTTCCTGCGGTTGCAGGGAAAAGTGCCGGGTGTGGTGGGGCTGGAGGGGAGTGTGGAGCGGACAAGGGAGTCACGGAGAGAGTTGTCCCTCCGGAAAGCAGATAAGGGTGGGAGGGAAAGATGTCTTTGGTGGTGGGGTCGGATTGCAGATGGCGGAAGTGTCGGAGGATGATGTGTTGGATCCGGAGGTTGGTGGGGTGGTACGTGAGGACGAGGGAGATTCTTTTTATGGTTCTCGCAATAAGATTGGACAAACTTGGTTTGTTTTCACTTGAACAACAGCGACCTGACAGAAGTTTACAAAATTATGAGGGGCATGGATAGAATGGATAGTCAGAGTCTTTTTCCCAGGATAGAAATGTCAATTACTATGGGACATATGTTTAAGGTAAAAGAGAGAAAGTTTAAAGGAGATGTGAGAGGCAAGTCTTTTTACACAGAGGTTGGTAAGTGGCTGGAATGCACTGCCAGAGGAAGTGGTGGAGGTGGATACAATAGCAACGTTTAAGAGGCATCTTAAGAGATATATGAATAGGCAAGGAATAGAGGGATATGGATCGCACAGATGCTACAGGTTTGTAGTTTAGAAAGGCATCATGAGTCGGTGCAGGCTTGGTGAGTCGAAGGGCCTATTCATATGCTATGCTATTGTCTGTTCTTTGTTTTTAGAAGCAAAGTACTCAAATAGTACCTCTGCCGTACCCTTTGCTTCAATGGGCAGCTTAACCCTGCTTGCTCCTTATGGGCCCCACTCTATCCTTCACTAATGTTTTACTGTTAATATGTTTGAAGAATATTTTACTGTTTATGATGCAGCTTTTCCCCATCCTTTCCCCATGCTTACTCCTAGCCTGCCTTATTCCAGCCTTAGCCTCTCTCCAACATTTGAGATACTCTTCCTGATTTCTATTGCTATTATTCCTGTATGCATCGTATGGTCTCCTTTTTCTGCCTTTTTTTTTCATAATACCCTGAGTTATCCAGTGTACTCTATCTTTGGATACCCCTCATTTATTTCTCATGGGTATATATGTAGCTTGCATCCTATTTATCTCTCGTTTGCCATTCTCCCATTTCTCATCCACTGTTTTATTCACGAAAATCCGTTTCCAATCAACCTGCTCCAGTTCAATTTTTAGATCTCTAAAATCCACCCTTTTCCAGCCTGAGATCTTAATCATTGACTGATTTTTATCCTTTTCCAATTTCTTATGTTACGATTGCTACTTCCCAAATACTCCCCACTCTGACATCCTCCATTTGGCCTGCCTAATTTCCAAAGACCAGATCTAGCATAGCTCTCTCCCATGGTAGGACTCGAATCGTACTGTTCTAGAAAGTTCTCCTGCACACATTGCAGGAATTTCACCCTTTCCCTGCCTCACACTTTACCTTTTACCCATTCTACCCTAGTTAATTGAAATCACCAACTATCACATACCTACTTGTCTTGCAGATTTCTATAATCCAACTACAAATGGTCTCTTCTATTTCTTCCCCACTATTTGGAGATCTATAATAAATACCCAACAGGGTCAACATTCCCATCCTGTTCCACAATTCCAACCACAAATTCTAATTCAGGAACTGTATCTTGTTCAAGTGCAATGATGCTATCTTTGACTAAGACAGCTAGACCTCCTCCCTTTGTACCCATGCTATTTTTACTAAAAGGCCTTATACCCTGGGGTGCTAAGTATTTAGCCCTGTTCTAGGTTAAGCCATGTTTTTGTCACATCCCCCAGAGCAATTTCTGTTTCCAGTTCCCCACTTTTGTTTATGATACTCCATGCATTTACATGCATACCATTTAACCCCACACTGAACTCTTCCTTGCCCATTGGAGGCGATCACTTCTTTGTTCACTTGCAGCACTCAAGCCTTCCCTCACTTCCTTTTCCATGTTCCCCGTTTTTCTCTCTTTTGCCCTCACAGGGACTTCCAAGACTAGGCCCATTAGTTAACCCACTTCCCCTGCCTTAAAAGTTTGAATCCTCCCCCACAACACTATTTACTCTCTCAGCCAGGAGATTAATACTGTTGTGTTTCCTACTTGTAGGTGGCATCCTTTTGGATATTGGGGATTATGTCCATGATGATACCGCTGTGCAAAGTTTTTGAACACGTACTTATTGTCTGTATTTTCCTGGGATTCTGTGATGGCTGTTTCATCACTATTATGGCACCTATTGCCTTTGAGCTTGTTGGACCTCAAGATGCATCACAGGCAATTGGCTTCCTTTTGGGACTTATGGCTATTCCTATGACTGCAGGACCACCCATTGCAGGTTAGTGACAAAAAAAGTGACATTTGTTTCACTTTTATAACTGGATAGGCAGATTAAAAATCATGGGAAATTGAGATGCATTTGGATGAAAAAGACAGGAGGTTAACATTTACTGTTATATGTTTGAAGTTCTTCACCCACATTATTTTTTAAACTTTAAGTGAGCTCCAGTCATCTTTGCATATTATTTATTTAATCCTGTAATTCGCAAGCATCATGTGAAAGAATTGCCAGTCTCTCCGTCTGAAATGCAACCTATTCCACAATTAATAGAAATCAGAGCAAGGTTTGAAACCACTTTAGTTTTTTGCACATTGCTTGTTCACATTATTAACCATTAAACCAGATTACATCTTAAATAGAACCAGAAAGTGTTGTAGGCCAGTCAACTTCTGAAAAGGAAAGCTTTGTTTAAATTTGAAGTGGGATCCTGCATCTTATTAGTGCAGATTCCATGGGCACCATTTGTTCACACAGTTATTAGTCCACAGATCAGTTAGTAAATCTTTAACAATAGGTATTCTGCCAGGGAAGACATTCTCCATTTGCTATTCATTGTAAAATCGTAAAAATGTACACGAAGGATATGTTTACAATTTCACTGAAAACAGCACTTACTAAATTTAAAAATAATTGAAACAATTATATTTCAAAATTCTGCATGTGGGTAATTTTTAAATTGAAACTTAATTTACAGTTGAATACTGATGTAAACAAATCTGTAAGGAATTGCTGGAGAATCTCAGCAGGTCTGGCAGCACCTGTGAAGGAGAAAACAGAGTTAACGTTTCGGGTCTGGTGACCCTTCCTCATTAAGTTAGATCACTACAAGTTCCTCCAGCTCATGCGTTACAGTCATTACTTGACTAAAATATTGCCAAAGCTGTGTATTTCCAGGTCGAGTAATAGCGTATTAAATTTAAGCTGCAGGTTTGATGTTGGGAGTTTAATACTAACTCAAATTTCTGGTCTTATTTCTCCATGCAGGAATTCTCTTTGATTACTTAGGCAACTATCGAATGGCCTTTTACCTGGCTGGACTTCCGCCAATTATTGGGGGATCAGTTTTGTTCTTTATCCCTTTAATCCACAACCGAATTCGCCAGAGGCAAGAGAAAGAAGAGCCTGGTACTGACAGGATGTTGTTAGCTTCTGAAAATGTATTCAATGGGGACATGCTTCCTGGCAACTCCAATGCAGAAGTGTCTGTATAGACAATGAGGCCATGCTGTTCTTTCCTACATTCCAGTATGGACCCTTACCAGCACAAACAGTGACAGAGTCATACAGTATGGAAACAGACCCTTTGGTCTAACCAGTCCATGCTGACCACAATCTTAAACTAAACTAGTCCCACCTACCTGTGCTTGGCCCATTTCCTCCAAACACTTCTTATTCATGTACTTATCCAAATGTCTTCTGAAAGTTGTAACTGTACCTGCATCCACCACTTCCTCTGAAAGTTCATTCCACTTACAAACCACACTGTGTTTAAAAAAAATGCCCCGATATCTTTTTAAAATCTCTCACCTTAGCCTTGAAATCCCCCACCCTAGGGAAAAGACACCTGCCATTCACTTTATCCATTCTCACGATTTTATAAACCTCCAAAAGTCACCCCTCAACCTCCTGCACTCCAGTGAAAAAAGTTTCAGCCTCTCCTTATAACATAAATCCTCCATTCCCAGCAATATCCTGGTAAAGCTTTTCTGAACCTTCTCCAGTTTAGTAGTATCCTTCCTAAAGCAGGGTGAGCAGAACTGAATACAGTATTCCAGAAGAAGCCTCACCAAAGTCCTGTACAACCTCAACATATCGTTCCAACTCCTTTACTCAAAAGGTCTGAGGAATGAAGGCAAGCGTGCTAAATGTGACGCAAACTCCATCGTATTGTGGATGAACTATTAGGGCAGGCTGAGGAATGTATCAATATGAAAGGCAGTCACGATTAAAGCAAGGGTTATGTTTGGTTGATGCTATTACAGAAAGACTGATGAAAGTGAAGGAAACAGGACAGAATAATCGTAGTAAAATGGGTAAGGAAGATGATAATGTACAACAAAAGAAGGGTCGTATGATCAAGGAGAATAGGTTTAGGAATAGAAATGGGGCACGGAAGAGATATGCTAGAAGGAAATCATGTTTTAAAACAGCTCAGCTACTATATAAAACTAAAAGGCAACAACTTGCTAGAGAGTCGATGGGAGCACCTTCTAATTGTTTATGCCCCCTTCGTAGGAATGATCAGGAACGAATATTTAAAGAGAAGCTCTCTGCCCAACAATAAAGCAAATATTACCAGGTTCGCAACTTACAAGGGTATTACTCAGATTGATCACTTAATGGATCCAGTGAGTAAAGAAGAGGTAGACAAAGCCATCAGCGGGACAGACCCGAAAACAGCTGCAGGACCCAATGGATTGGGATTTCAAGACATCCAGGCAAATCATTACAAGGATGTAACTCATTTAGTCAGATTATTTACCTTGTGGATGAAAACTGGTGTTATTCCTGATAGTTTGAAGAATAGCAGGATAGTTATTGATACTGAAGACGAATGATAAGGGTAGTCTTAAGGATATTGATAACTGGCAGCCCATCACCATCGGGGCCTATCCTGCTATGGATTTTTACCAGAATATTGGTGAAAAGACTTAGCAGAGCAGTAGAGCTGAATCCAAGACAGAAGGGCTTCTGGTAGCAACCTTGGGTTGTAATGAGAATGTAGTGATTTTTCAAAATATTATGAAGGGAGCCAAGAAGAACGGGATGGATTTAGCGGTGGTTTCTATTGATTTAGTGAAGGTGTTTGACTCAACTGGGCACAAAATGCTTGTTAGAACCTTGGAAAGAATATCCCTCCTGGGAGATTTTATTAAATTAATAGCGAATTTATATATGAATAATACGACAGTGGTGGAGGGATATAATTGTAAGACTGATTTTATACAAGTAGCTTGTGGTGTTAAACAAGGCGATTGTCTGTCTCCCATTCTATTTAATATTGCTGTGGATCCGTTAATAAGCACCCTGGAGGAAGTAGGATCGGGTATTACTATTAACTTGAAAGGAGAAATTGTTCACTGTACAGCTTTGGAGTTCGTGGACAATGTAGCGCTGGTAAGTGGGTCTCACATGGGGATGGCTAACAACCGTAAGACTGTTCAATGCTTTTGTGACATGGGTCTCACAATTAACATCAAGAAGACCAGGGGTTTTCATTTTGTGTACAAAGGTAAGACATTTTTGAGTTATCATCTAAAGGAACTGAAACTTGGTGGAAGTGAGGTTCAGTATATTGTCCCAGGTGAGACCAAGAAATACCTGGACGCTCAAGTGGATCCATGGACGGGCATTAAACTGTCTGACTGCGAGAGCAAATCGAAAGAGTGGGCAGAGAATTTGATAAGATCAGCCCTTTGCCCGATGCAGAAAATTGAGTTTAAGAATTATTTTATACCTAGGTTGCGTCAACATTTGGTCTTAGCAGAGACATCCCAGAATATTTTATGAAACTTGGACTCTTTCATTTGAGGTTTTATCAGGGAAATTTTACATCTACCCCTATATACATTGGACGGATTCTATATGCTTGCAATAGATATGCGGGTTGGAGATTTCGTGGCTGGAAGTGCAAATCCCGATTGCTGTTTTGAGAAAATGTGTGGCACTTGAACAATCTGAGCATCAGGTCATCCAGGCATCATTCCATTTTAGTATGGAGAATAATTTGGATATAATAGAGGAGCTGAGGAAATTAAAGGTAATGCGAGAGATTTGGTTTGCCTGGAGACGCTGGCATACAGTTTGAAGAGGAGATGGATATGGAAGAGAGAAGGGATTTGGTGAGCATGTTAAGCCCAAATTACAAAGCTTGGAGGGGGACAGAGTGGTTGAAATGGATGTCCTTATGGTGCCAGGGATTAGGAGTGAAGTATTTTAAGAATGATGTGAAATATTTGGGTCAAAACGGCAGTCACTATGAAGACATCAAAACTGATTAACACTTTGTTATTGTGGTGCTATTTGTATCTAACCAGAGCAACATTGACCCATTGGGAGATCTCTTTTTAGTAAGAAGTGCTGGAGGTGTGAAGCTTCATTAAAGACGCTTCGTCACATTTCTGGATGGTGTCCATCAGTGAAAAATATGGATAAAGAGGCATAATAAGACTATGGAAAAGTTATACCTGTATGTGTAAATATGGTTGGAAGACCTTTTTAGGGCCTTGGATAAGTGATGATACCGGTAAGTTGTGGAAACCGGATTTAACTTTCCAAAAAGGTTCGGCGGTTGTCATAGATGTGATTTGAAAATGGAGAGGAGGCATTGGAAAAGGCTTGGGATGAAAACGTAACTACATGTAAACATTTAACAGAACAGATTATGGGGTTAATGAATATAGATTTGCCATTGTTTTATGGTTTTGTTACGGGTGCTAGAGGAAAATGGGCAGAAACAAACGATAAGCTTATGAACTGTCTTGGGTGCAGAATTTTAAGTTTATCACCCAGGAAGTGTCTCATGTTACTATTTCATTGACTCTCGAAATCTTGCAAATCTTTAGTGACTGCTAAACAGGTTAGCAGATGGACTTTGATTACACTCTGAGGACAATTTTAATGCTTGCTTGTTTTATCTGCATGTTTTACTGTCCACTTTTATATATTTATTTATTTGTTGGTTTTAAGATTATTTTAATGTTTTATTTTCTTTTAACGTGGTGGTTTTAGTTAATAAAGGTTGTTTACTTCAGTCACTAGTAAGGGTGGTAGGTATATGGCATTTGCTTAATATTCACAAAAACACATTGCAAGATGTTAGTGTGGGTATAGATGCTAACCGAATGGTCATGTAACCTTTGCTGTCAGTTCCCGCTCTTGGTGTGCAGCTCTATGATCAGAGGTGCCCTTTCCCCATCACTGTAAGAACTAGCTGAGTTCAGCTATATAGAGGTGACCTTTGCCACGTCGATGAGCAATGTTAAAACTCGGCAAGTGCACTGCTATTTTACAGTGTTTCAATGTAGCCAAATGCCTCCTTATCTAATTACGGGTTTCTCTGTTCTACGGCACTATCCAATGCTCTATTTTTAATTGTATAAATCCTGCCCTTGTTTGTTTTACCAAAATGCAATAGCTTGCATCTATCCAAATTAAACTCCATCTGCCACTCCTCAGCCCATTGATGCAATTGATCAAAATCTCTTTGTAATCTTAGATAACCTTCAGCGTCCATTATACCACCATATTTGGTGACATCTGCAAACTTATTAACCATGCATCCTATATTATCATCCAAATCATTTGTATAAATGACAGACAAAAGTGCGCCCAGCGCCAATCCCTGCGGAACACCGCTGGTAACAGCCCTCCAGTCTGAAAAATAACCTTCCACCGCTATTGACTGTCTATCTCCTACCTGAAGCCATTTGGTATCCAATTGGCAAGCTCATTCCAAATCCCATGTGATCTAATTCTACTAATTAGTCTATCATGTGAAATCTTTTCAAAAGCTTTACTAAAGTCCAAGTAAATAATGTCTACCACTCTGCCTTCATCAATTTCTTAAAAAACTCATTTGTATGGTTTAAAACATTTTTTTTTGCCCATGTGTAACATCAAAATTAGCTCTTGGAACAAGATAATATGCTGAATTTTGAAATAACTCCACACAGGCTGGTATCCCGTAGTCAGGTCACCCTTTATTTACACATGCATAGCACTTGATGCTGGTCTGGCCTCCTCAAAGCCAGCTCCCACAGTAAACAGAACCTCTGACACTGCTCCCTGATTGCACCAAGTTAACAGCCCCAATCAGGGAATTCATATTTTGTGAGGTCCACCTGGCTGACCTCGTTACAATTACTACATCCCTCCCCCTCTATGTCTGGGGATGGAGACCTGTTCTTGTAGTCTCTCCTGGGGCATCTTCACATCGGGTCTGGTTCCTCTGATCCAGCCTTGGATACAGGCAATGTATAAGATTGCAGACCACCACTTCCGCACAGAGCATCTCAGAAAAAAATCCATCCTCTTCTTCAGATGGTAAAGGCATTGAGGCTGCAACATTCGCCATGTCCATCTCAGATTCTAAGGTTTCTTGGATGCTGGATGGACAGGGAGAAGCCATGGTTTCCGACAGCCTTTCTGGCTATTCTGACGGGCCGCCTATGTTTTGCTCCTGCCCAGTTTGCGGGTTTGCACCTTTCATGTGGTCCACATGCTTGTTTAGGACCGCCTCACCTCCCTGAACTTGGTACATCATGGGACTTGACCTTGCGTCGACCATGCCTCTTAGCTATGTGTTTCTGTGGTGTTGGCACCAAACTTCATCCCCTGAAGTAAACTGTCTCTCTCGCTTAG